TGAGCCACTGCACCTGGCCCTTCTCCCTTTCTTATCTTGGTCTCCCATCCCTTCCCTTGAGGACAGTGCACCACAGAATCACCTGGGGTGCTTGTTAACATGTAGATTCCAGAGCCCCAGTCCTCAGAGATTCTGATATGGAGAATCTGAGAGAGGGCCTGGGAATCTGCCTTGTTACAAGCTTCCCAAATGATTCTACTGAATAGGTTCATGGTGAGGCCACCGCTTGAGAAACAAGGCCCTGCAGGGATTTGAGAATAAACAACCTCTCCAAGTCATCTCTGGACACTAAAATATAACAGAAACAAACAAAAAAGACAACTTTAGTACAAAGCAAAAAGTGATAAAAATCCACAAGAAACACGAAGGCAACAGATGTAGAAACCCCTTTCCCTGAAAATGGATGCATTGATTCATGCAACACACTCTTTCTGAGTGCCTACCCTATCTCAGGCATTGTTCTAGGCATTAATGATTTAGCAGTGAACAAAATGGGCAAAAGTTCGTGCTCTCAGCCAGTTTATATTTTGTAGGGGGAGACAGACAATGAACGGTAATCTAGTGTGTTAGAAAGTGACAATGCAGTAGACAGAAATAAAGCAGAGAGGGGTGTTAGTGAGTGCTAGGGCTTGTTTGCAGGCACAATTAGGTGGTCTGGGAAGGCTCATTTAAAAGGTGCTATTTGAACGCCTTGAGTGTGATGAGCGACAGCCAAACAGGTATCTGTAGGTGACAGGTTTCTGTGCAGGAGGAACAGCAAGTACAGAGTCCAGCTGGGAGTGAATGTTCCTGGTGTGTTCAAGGAACAGCAAGAATGCTTTTGTGGTTGGTGCAGAGTAGGTCAGGAAGCAGGTCGTAGGAGCTGGGATCAGAGAAGGACCAGGAGACTGGATCCTGCAGGGCCCAGTGCAACAACATTGACTTTGACTCTGAGGGAACTGGGGTAGGGGCCAGGGGAGGATTTTAAGCCAAGGAATGCCAAGATCACATGTAACATTTAAAAGGATCACCCTAGCTACTGTCTTGAGAGTAGTCTCCAAGGGGGGCAAGAGTAGAAATTATCGTTGCTATTAAAATTATGGCATGGTTTCTGCACCCTAGGAATTTACTGTGATTGTGGAGATAGAACATGTACAACTCTAATAAGGAAGTGTCTGCTAAGTGCTATGAATGACTCAGAGCAGAGAAGTTCTGTGGAAGTCCAGTGAAGGGAGACATCCCTTCTGGGAGTCAGACTTCATGGACAAGCTAGGCGTTAGGATGAATGAACAAGATTTTTTTCTTAGCTTGATGGATATATAATTGACATACAGTAAATGGCACACATTTAAAGTATACACTTTGATACCTTTGGACGTGTATACACTCATGAAACAATCCCCACAATTATAATGGTGAACATACCCATTACCCCAAAATCTTGTCATGGTTTATGAAGAAGGGTGAGGTTGATCACCAGGGCAGAAGCTAAGCATAGGTGCCAGGAAGTGCAGGGGCTTCTGTGGGACGGGGGGAAGGCCCGCTGATGTTACTGGAAGGTCACATGAGGAGGTATGACAGGTGGCTGACAAGATGGCTTGAAGAAAATTATGTAAGATCTGAAACACTAGGCCACCAGAGTTAGGTCACAGGGGAACTGTGGAAGTATATAAATTTGTTGCAGCATGTAGTCAAAACAGGGTTGATCTGCTAAAATTTCATCTTTTAAAGACAACACTAATGACATCAAATTCTAGGTATTTTATCTTTTTGTAGTAAGTCCCAGAAAACACAGCCAAGTACATTCATACAGTATTTCATGCATATAAAATCAATTAAAATCAATTAAATGAAACTGTTATGCAATTTCTTAATTAGATAATTAACAGAATCCTTAATAGCCTTATACTAATACAACTACTTACAGATTGAAAATAATTCCATTTGCCACTTGTTGGTACACTAAAGCCTACCCATAAAAAATACGTCTAGTTTAGATAGACTTTAATAATTTAAAGATAATATATCAGTGTGTCACATTAGAATCTTGATTAGTGCTTATATATTTAAAGTCCAGCACTTTATTTTTGTGTTATGTTGAACATGAACTTTAAAGTTAAGAGAAATATTTTAAGTAGGTGTCTACTCTGCCATCTTAAGCTCTTAATCTATTTGTGAATGGATTCTATTTCCCCAGGGCCAAGGGATAAAGTGGAGAACAGGATTTTCAGGTTTGAAGATAGTTATGCTAATGTGAAATCATCTTTCTCCTGGGTACAGGTTGGCTGCTCCTAGGAAACATTGACCAGTTGATGGCTCTGTAGTTCTAATTGTGATTCTAAAAACCAAAGCCCCTTTAGAACATTGCCTACTCTTAAGGGAGAAATAAGGAATATTTTTCACTTGGCCTATTATGGAGAGAAGAATCATATTCTCAGTTCTATGGAAATGAACGACTCTTGGATTATTTTATCTCTTAGAGAAGGTGGCTGGGAGCCATTCAGTCCATGCTCAGAGATACCAGCTCAGGAATCCAGAGACCTGTTCTTATTTAGATTTCTTTAAGGAAGACTTTGACTTGCCTGGATGTAGGAGGTGAATAACTAAAGGTCTTATGTTCCCTTCCTTACCATTCTCTCCCCTCTTAATTCCAAAAATTCTCCTGGATAAAAGTAATCTCTAAGGTCATGGTTGCTATCATTGCCATCCTCCTTCTCCTCATCATCACTACCATCATGTGAAATACTGAATTTGTACAAGGTACTGTATTAGTACTGAAAATTGTCATGTTGATAATAATTACTACCATTTGCCAAGGAACAGAACTGTACTAAACATGTTACACATATTATCACATTTAATTCTTACTTAACTCAAAAGGTACTATTATCAATTCCTATTTTTACATTTAAGAATAATAATACTTGGATAGGTTTTTTAAAAATGGCTCTCAGCTACAGAGGCAGGACCTTCCATGCTCTTAACCAAAAGTTTTCAAAAGAATCAACAGAACACCGTCCATAGCATCTAGTTGGAAAAGATGAGACTTAGACATAAAAAATTTCTGTGGTCATCATGAGAGATACTTCACCTACTCTTTTGAGTACTTTATAAATGGTTCTTAATCATATTAAGTTCTAATTAAAAATCTCCCTTTCCTTTTGAAGTAGAAAAGTCTTACCATCTGCCACAGTCTTTCACCTGTTATAGCAAGCAACCCTATTAATTGCATTCCCACCTGCCTTTGGCCCTCCCGACTACAGTCATTCAACCTGAAGCTGCTCATACCATCTTTAATAGGACCACGTCTCGCTGCAGTCATCCAGAGCAGTGTCACTTAGGCTGGGCACAGTCACTACATCCCAGGCTAATTTGGCTTCTTATGTAGAACAACTTAGGTCTGACATTTAACATTTCTCCTTTGGCAGTTTTTTTTTTTTTTTTTTTTTGGTCTCTATGAGCTTATTGCCTTGCATGCCTTTATGCCTTTATATTCATATTTTTCACCTGCTAGGATCCATGTTCATGCTCACACTATAGTGTGTGATTGTCATTACTGGGTGAAGTGCTGTTGGCTGACAAAGCAGACAGTTACACAGTTGACGAACTTCGGGTTTAGATGATGTCTGGTAGGCTAGAAGCAAGTTTCTACTGAAGTTTTATGCTAATGAAGCAGGAGTGTCAGCCACCCACCTGTGATATCAGAGCATGGCCTAATTGTTGTCACTGTAGAAGTTGTTATTTTGGCTATCTCAGGCCTCACCTGGAGCAAACCTAATTATAAGACACCTAGGGTCCTTTCAAGAATCATGCTCCTCTTTCTCCCTGTCACAGCTGCCTAACTTTGGAGAATGAGCTGCACTTGTGTCCTCTTTGCCAATCAGAGTGAACTATATAGGGACTTTCTTCTGTGCACACATTGTGTTAGTGAGAACGGCAGAACCCTTGAGGGTGGTAATTCTTCCCACAAAGAGCAACGGGATGCCATTACTTTGTCAAACAGTTGATGTGTTTCCTGGATTCCCTGCAAGGTAGTCACATGGCTTGTTTGTTCACGGAACTCCATGAACAACAGGAGTCAAGGATACTGATGTTTAGCTATGGGTAAATTCCTGCTGCGTAGATTCAACATGGTAACTGAGTGAGTAAAGAGTCTCACTGTGAGAACGACTCCAGGTGATAACGACCCCCTGTGACTTCTTGATCCTCCTCCATCAAACACAGGTGGAAAACGAGATGTCCTGATGAACAAAATCTTCCTGAGGAAGAAGTAGCTAACATTCATTAACTGGTATTTTGGGAGTATCCTTAGATTTCACATGTTTAAACTCTCCTCTCTGACAATGGCTAATTAAGATTCGGCCAAATTATCTTTATTTTTCTTTTCCTGAGATTACTGAGGCAGGGGGAAAAACTTTCTTTGAGAGACATTCGAGTCCAGAGAGTTGAATGTTTAACTACGAAGGAGAGGATTGGTATTCTTGGTTCAGATCCACCTAGGGTTTGTTATCTATTGTTTTACAAACTTTCAATGTTGCAGTTTCTATTTGAAAAGAAAGTCATTAATATTGACACCTGCCTTTGTGGATAGAATTGCTATGAAGAACATCGAGGTTCTTGAGAAAGAAGGGACACATGGGGAATGTGACAGGGGCGGGAATGCAAACCCACAGCTTGTGGTTATAAGGAGTGTGAAGGTAAATTCCATTGATCTCCTGGGAAGCCGACCCTGTGGGAAACAAAACATTTTCTCAGGGTGCTCTCCTCCATTCTGTGGGGCAGCATTTATGGAGGAAGAAAATTTAGGAACAAAGTGGGAAGAAACTGTTTTTGAAGATAATCTTGAGCTTGTCACTGGAGGCCTCTAGAATAATAAACCAGAAGCAAACATCAACAAGAATTTGCACAACACATGCTGGAGGCTGACTCCAGCTGTTGCCTTTATCACAAACCCAAAGGCTTTTGAGGAACTCGCTCAAAGTACTCTTTTGGCTAAAATAATGTGGAAAATGAGCCTGTCCTCAAAAGTGGCATTAGCATTTATTGCTGAGCAACATAGCCCTTGGGGGATGAAATGGAACAGAAAGAAGGAGGAGCGTGAGTGAACGGCTTTGTTTGCCGGGGCAGTAGTTCTTATTTTCTTGCTTGAGTTTGCAGACTCTGCAGCCCTCATTGCTTGTCCCACCTCATGCGCTGGAAGGCTGCTGCCAGTGCTTGGAAAATAAGCCTGCCACCTGCCTGCTGGGCGTCTGACCTTGCTGGACCCAGTGTGCAGTACTGGTCTGGAGTTTTCCTTAGGCAGGGTTCTCTTGTCTTCTTCTTGATGAGCCGGGCTGATGGTTAAAAAAATTTTTTTAATAAAATCCTTTCTATGTAAACATTGCTTTCTTGGGAATTTAAGATAAAGATTAATGGATTTTGTACTGAGGCTAGAGAATCTATTCTAATAGTTTAAGGAATAATGAGTAAAAGAAGGATCCCAGACTATGGTTGACTCACATGGGGTTCTTTAACCAGATAGAACAAATATGGTTGGAAAATGATATCAGCCTTAGATTTGAAAGAGTTTCTTTCATGACAATTATATAATAGGTGACTAACTCATTTAGGCAAAATAAATGAATGACAGACCCAAACTGACTTTATTATTTGGCTGTTCTGGCCTTGGTTGAATTCCTTTCATCCCTTCATTCACAGATATTAGTTGAGTCCTTACTGTGAAGTAGGTGTGACACTCTTGAATAGAAAACAGAAAGAAAGAATATTTTCCTGTAAGGAGCTGAGAGTCTACTGGAGAAATAGTTCTACAGATAAGAACTACAGACAGCAGGACAACCCTTAGAATGGAAGTATAGGAAAGCAGAGTAATGGCATGATCTGATTTGCATCTTAGTAAGATCATTCTGGTAGGGATTATGTCAAACTGAGTTGGGAGACTGCGGTGATGGAGAGATGCTGAAAGCATTGACTTGGCAGTGGGCATGGAGAGGAAGGACCTTCAGGAGCTCTTGGGAAGTACTGTGATTGGATGTGAGTGAAAAGGAGGACTTAAGGAAGGTTCTAGGTTTCTAGCCTGGGCCCCTGAGTGGATAATGACACTTAGCTAGTGACTATTGGAATAAGAGAAGGTTTAGGGGCAGAGAAAACTAATTTTGAATTGTTATGTTGAATGGTATTTATCTGGGTGATGTTGTCCAGGAGCCTGCCGGGATAAGGTGTGGAGTTTAGCAAACAGGTCCAGCAGGGCTGCAGGTAAAGAGCCCCACATCTCTGGTGTATGGATGGCTGCTGAAGCCATGGTCTTGTACACAATCACCTGGAGAATGAACGCCAGTGAGAGCACAGAAGGATTTGGTCATAATCTCTTGGATGAGTCTGCCAGAAGAGAAGCCAACCTGAGAGAGACACTAGGTTATGAGAGTTCCCTAGGGGATGTCGTAAGAGACCTCATTTTCCCAAAATACCCCCAGAAGAAGCAGAAGAGTGGTAAAGGGATCAGAAACCCATCTTATGGAATTTTCTTTGCTCTTTTGGAGTAATCACTCATGGGGCAGATTGAGGCATCTGAACATGAACTTCATTTATCACTAACCTTCCCTCTGAGGAAACTTACCACTTTCCTAAGTGTCTTTTTGAATTCCTCTTCCTGGGGGAGGTGGGGCAAAAATGATTTTGTATATTTTTCTGAAAGATGAGACTGTTTTGAGTGTAGAATGCCTAAACTTAAAAACATAGGATGATAACCAAAAATATATATATATATATATGATGAAGATGTTGCCCAAAGCCCATTTTCATATATGCTGAAATAAAAAACTGGGCCTTTGAAAATAGAGGCTCTCACGCCTATGCTAGGGTTCATCACTGTTCCCATTAGACTATTTTGTGAGGTCACAGATGGATCAGAACCACACTGGTTGCTCAATTCATTCCTCCTCTGGGACTAGGTTTCTTTTGGTGCCAGCTGATCCTGAGGGTGCTTCCCTAGTCCGTCTATTGGGGCTACTGCAGCTCTTTTTGTGCCTATGTCAGGAAAGCATAGTATATATGAGCCATCCCTAGCTCTGAGGACTCCTTTTCTCTTTTCTTCCCATTTATTACTCCTCTCCCTTGAAGCAGTCTCCTCTTTATTTCAGTGCTTCCAGAAAGCTATGTCTGCTGGCCATTCCTCTTTGAAGTTTGGAGTTGCACTAAAATATTTATAATGTGTGGACAAGCACTTGAAAGGGATTTTAGTTTCTGTAAGATGTGTCTCTTGACGTACCGAGGCCTTTTGATGGTAAGAACTAACATAGGGTTTCAGATCAAGGGTTGCTTAGTGTGAGGAGCACCTCTGACATCAGCCAGCAATTGCACACTCATTACAGGCTCAGTCTCAGCTGCCCTCTGGGTGGGACGATAATGGGTTGCTGGCTCCTTCACGGGTGTCTGTAACAGTGATACTGGGAGGGGGCTCAGCTGTGCACTCCGGATGGTTTTCTTGGCACTTGCAGGGCTCGCTTTGGTTGGTGCAGGTGTGAGTGGAGGACAGCAGTGGGAGCAGGGGTTCATGCGTACCACGGAGAGGGCCGAGCTCCTGTGTCTGAGTATGTAGGGATTGGTTCTGTGAGTCACTACAGACTGGACTAGAGATGTCAGCAAGGGATATGCCATTCGGTGGTCCAGAAACCAAGAAGGTCCCTGGACTGTGAACTACCAGAGGATGGGAATTGTTCCCAGGTATCCTTGATTCCCCAGCGTGGTGCAATGCCTGGCATGTTGGAAGCCAACATGGAATACCTATTTGTTAAATGTCGAAAGCTGAGCAACAAATGGCAATAGCTGAATAAAGAAGGTACTGCTTCAAGGGAGAGGAGCAAAAACAAGGAAGAAAAGAGAAAAGGAGTCCTCGGAACCAGGGATGACTAATGCAGTTTCTGTAGAGTAGATCAGTCTCTGTCAGAGTCAAAGCCAGAGTCTAAGGAACATAAACTGTGATGTGCAGCTGCACCTGCTATTATAGCTGCCTCCTTACTATGGCATTTCTTCCATGTGATTGGGGTAACAAAAATATTTGAAATAAGCAATTAATTTGAGGCTTCTTGGAACCAAATAGTTTAATAACTTGGAAGTGTAAGCCATTGGTTGCAGATTGCACTTAATGCCAGTCTCCTGATTTCCCACATTTTCTTCAATTATGCAATAGAGTGTGGGAATAAATAAGAGAATCATGGACCAACTAAAGGATAAGGTACCATGTGGTCATTAAAAAACACATTTTAGAATGATGTTTATTGATAAGGGGGAAATGTCATTTTGTTATGTTTGAAAAAGCAAGAAACTATATCTTGGCACATAATGGGGCCCCAATAAATTCCCTTTGAATAAATGAACACTTCCTAGGTGAATGCAGTGACAGCCATATATGTCTGTGCAAAAACTACAAGTCTGCTGAAGGTTGTGGCTCTTTTGGCTCTTGAAGTGAACGATCGTGGACTGGCCACAAAGTCTGGGTGTAGTCCAAACTTGCATCCCTTCTGGAGCAGTTTCTCTGTCTGTAAACTGTGGTGATAATCTGTTCGAGAATGGTCCCTAAGGGGCCCTTCCGGGTCCCAGTGCTCTGTGATTAGAGACTCTCTGGACATAGCAGCTGTCGTGAGAAGGCCACCACAAGACGGGCCCCATATGGTTCACATCACTTTAGCAGCCAAGACCTGATCCACCTCGACCTCCTATTGTTTCCCATCGTTTTATCCAACTGTCTTGAGTTTCTCCCTCCTGAGCCACTCCTTGCTGCTGCTGTGTAAAGAGGCCTCTTGATTTATTAATCAATTAATCAGTGCATGCTGACGAGCTGTTCAGGGTAGTTAAACAGGGAAAACAAAATGCTGGAGCCCATAATCAAGATGGATCGTAATTAAGAGTAGCCCTCCCGCCCAGAGCTTCCTGCCCACCCTGGCTGCCCCATACCACCACCCTCGCCCACAGCTCCTCCAACCCCATTTGGCTCTGATGGGGCCTCTGCCCCATGAAAGCTGACAGCAGATCTCAGAAGGGCAGGTTTCCTCTCCCATGTCAAGAGATAAATAAGCCTTGGAATGAGCCTCATTCATTAGGTGTAGCAACTGTTGACCCTCAAAACATTCGACCAGGCCCTCCAGATGACTTAATGGCTCTGTGCATGCATGCACATACTGTACCCTCCTGTCCCAGTTTCCCCAAAAACAGAGTCATGGAGCTGGACGGACCTTCCTGCAAGGACAGGCCATGTCCTTGGAGTAACAGATGAGGGGTTCAGTGAGATTAAGTAAGTTGCCCGAGATCACACAGAACTTCAAGTTACAAGTAGTAGAACTAGAAAATATTCTGATACTCAGTTAACACTCCTAGTGCTTGTTTCTCTGGGTAATCCTGCTTTCCCGTAAAGATGGAAGCAAAGTAAATGAAAGGCGTCATCCTCATTAAATTTTCTGATCTTTTTAAAAGATATGGGCCTCTAAAGATTTTTAAAAGAGTAGTTTTAGATGAAGTTTGTGTGGAAAAGTATCTTGGACTATTTTTCAGGGAAATATTTTTTTTTTAATGTTTCAGGGTCTCAGACACATGGATACAGACATGGCCAGGTTACCTTGGGGCAAACATGACTTCACCTGTAGAAGTTTCTGGGCTGCTGGAGCAGGCTGGATCTCTGATGGCAATGGCACTTCCAATGGCACTTAGCACACAGTGCTAATGAGGCCAAGATTTTCTTAGAATAGAATCTCTGTCCCAGGTCACAAGTGGTACCTCCATCTATTACCAACTTTCTGTGGGTAACTTGGGGCCAGGAGGCCCCAAGGCATGGGTCCAGAGTGATCGCACTCACCAACCCCCATCATGCCTGACAAACATTTGTGTCCCTGACTGAACACCTTGGGAGGGTCCAGGTATGGTATAATTCTTTAGTAGACACAGGAACCAGAAGGTTCTTATTCGATTGGCCTGGTGAGGAAAATATTTAGGAACTTTTATTTTTTTTAATCTTCTGGAAAGTTTTCACTATAAAATTCTTAGGCACTTGTCAAAACATGTTTGTCAACCATAGAAGCTCTCCTGCCAGTCTGGCTTCTCATTTCTGTTGGATGCCAATCAAACAATCCAACTTCTTGCATTTGTCTAGCAGGGGTCCTCAAACTTTTTAAACAGGGGGCTAGTTCACTGTCCCTTAGACTGTTGGAGAGTGCGCACTGTGGGCCCGGGACGAGTCAGCTGCTAAGCAGGACAGGCAGTGGTGGCAAAAACACCTGGAGGGCCGGATAAAAGTGCTAGGCGGCCAGGCCCCTATATGGCCCGCAGGCCATAGTTTGAGGATGCCTGATCTAGGGCTTAACTCATAAACCATATATCTTAATTGCACTTATCAGCCTTGAGTTATAGGCTCTCTCTTTTTTCTTCTGCTTCTGTGTTCTCCAGGACCCTGCTTTCTCGGCTGTGATTCATGACAAACTCCAGGTCCCCAACACGATCCGGAAGGCATGGAATGACCGGGACAACCGCTGTGACATCTGTGCCACACACCTGAACCAGCTGAAGCAGGAGGCCATCCAGATGGTGCTGGCCTTGGAGCAGGCAGCTGGCAGTGAGCACTACGACGCCTCACCCAGCTCACCCCCGTCCCTCTCCAGCATCCCCGCCCTGGTGGGGTCCCGGCACGTGGGTGGGCTCCAGCAGCCCCGGGACTGGGCCTTTGTGCCTGCCGCCTACGCCACCTCCAACTACACAGGCTTCGTCAACAAGCACAGCAGCAAACCTAACAGCCTTGGGGTCAGCAATGGGGCGGAAAAGAAGAGTGGATCCCCAACTCACCAGGCCAAGGTCAGCCTCCAGATGGCCACCAGTCCCAGCAATGGGAACATCCTCAATTCGGTGGCCATCCAGGCTCACCAATACCTGGATGGCACTTGGTCCCTATCAAGAACCAATGGGGTCACCCTGTACCCATACCAGGTGAGTAGCCTCTGTGAGTTCGGAAGAGCACGGTTGGCTATACTGAAAGCAGAGAGGTGGGCAGTACTTCCTTCCTCCACTTTCTCCTAGGAGCTCCCCAACTCAGAGATTCATGCTTCTATGTGGTCCCCACAGAGTTCTAATCCAGGTGTTCCACCTGGGCCCACCTGCTTTGACAGTGTACCTACTGCATCCCCCTAACCTTCTATACCCGCCCTCTCTCTGCTCTTTCACTGTTCCCTTCCTGAGGGACCCTGTTGGCCCAGGAAATGTCAAGGGCTTCCCAGCCAGCAGGTTTGCCGCATGGTGCAGCAATTAAGAGTATAAGTCCAGGAGATAATTAGACTGGAGTCCAAGTCCTGACTTGTGCACTTACTAGCAGTGTGACCTTGCACAAAGGGTTTGCCCTTTCTTAGGCTCACTTATAAATGAATATAAGTAGTGAAAGTTAAATAAGGTAATGAACGCAAGACATGAAGTCCAATATCTGCCAGATAACAGGGGACTGCTGTCACGCCTGCTAACAAAGATTTTAGAAATTAAGGCAGATGGATGAGAGATTTTTGAACCAAAGAATATTGTGGGTCCCTAAAATCATGGTGGATAGTGCTGGACATTGCTAAGAATAAAATACACAAAGGACCAGTGATCTATGTTAGCGCTCTACTCCATTGTCTACACCTTATAAAAGAGGTGCAGACTCCCCTTCTAACCTCTCCTACCTTGACAGACCTTCACCCTTATCTATTTGCAACTCACCTTAAATATTGTTGGGATTGGGTTGCCAATGGTAGTTTTTCCTTTTCAGTTATTTAAATTAGCACATAGCCTCAAGTTTCCCTATAGAAATATAAGGGAGCAGTTCTTAAATCTGCCAGGGAATCTAAAAAAATTGTCTTAAGTTTTTCTAGGTGAGTTTTCTGGTAGTTGAGGGTTGGGTTTGTAATGTACATGTGCTCTGTGTCCCCTGCATCAATTGCATGGGAAGCAGCAGAGAGCATTGCCTGTCACTGAAGTGGAGAGATGGCTGTGATCGTGGGTGTATTAGTTAGGGATGATAACGGATGTAACAAATGATCCTAAAGATCTCATCTGCGCCCCTGTCGAAGTGGGTGTTTGGTGGGTGGCCTTCTGCTGTGATGTAGGGACTTGGGCTTCATCCATCAAATGTGTCATTGTCATCCGGGGCCCTCCAGAGTCCTCCACCAGATCTATAACCAGCCAGGAAATGAGGGAAGAGAGCATGGAGGATCTCACAGGAGGATGTGGGGCCCCAGCCTGGCCTTGAAGGGAGGTACATTGCTTCTTTCCATATTCCAGTGGCAAGAATCCAGTCTCCTGGCCCTACCTTCCTACAGGGGAAGCTGAGAAAGCCAATCTGCCCATGTGCCCAGGAGAAAAAGGAATAAGGCGAGTGAACACATAGCATAGTTTTGTTACATGGGGCAAAGGTACAGGGAAACAGCAAGTTAAATGTGGCTGATAAAATTCCTGGTGACTTTTCTAGACTTTTCTCTTTTGAGAGGGAATGTAGATTTTATCTCTTGATATCTTGAAAGTGGGAAGCATTGATCATTATCCTAAGATGCTAGCATTCTTGGATTGCCAGACTTTTCATTTATGGGTGCTTCAAAATTTACAAAATAAAGTTCACACATGGTTTTATTTAACCCCACAAAATAGGCCTGTGAGGTAAGTAGGGAAAATGTTAGATCTTTCTTTTCCAGATGGGGAATATGATGCTTAGAGAAATTGAGTGACCCGTGGCCACCACCCAGCCAGTGGCAGACAGAACCAGCACCAGCTCCCCACGCCCAGGGGAATGTGTTTCTCTGCCACGGTTGCTTCCGCCTTTTCCAGCTCACCTGGCAGCAATCTCTTGTTAGCATCTTTTGCAGATATGGCTCTTTTTAGACCTGGCACACCAAAGAAAAGGACTCTTATTTTGACCTGTAGGGGCCTTGCTGCCACTTGACTTTTGGATGGAATTTTCTGGGTCTCATATATAAATATAATAAGGAACCAGTGGCATCTTGGAGGAGGCTTCATAGTCTAATCTTGAAAATAACCATCTAGGGCAGGAACAGATAGGACTTCTTTTCATTGTGGAATCATATACTTTTTTTTGTTTGCAATTTCAAACTAATCCTATTTTGGAAATTATAAAAAGTAATACCTGTTTATTATAAAATTTAAAATATATGTAAAAGTTGAAATAAGGCTTTAAAAGTAAACATCACCCAGAAATAAAGTATGGCGTAGTTTCCTGAGGAAAAACACTTAGGTATATTTCCTTCTAGTATTTTATATGCTCACAATTTGTAAAATTGTGACTGCATTCAGTTCTGTGAAATGCTTTTCACTTAATATGCTGGGTCGTTTTCCCATGCCATTATATATTTTTCTAAAATATGACCTTCAATTGTAGCATAATATCCCATTATATGAATATTACTCACTCCATAAATATGTCCTAATTTATATAACCAAGTATCAGTTGTTGGAGTCTAGGTTTTTGCTACTATAAATAAAATGCTCAGGTGAACATCCTTTTACCCAGGTCATATTTTCAACACAACCCCCGGGTTGAGTGAGCCACATACTCGTGTTACGTTGACAACTCACATTTCACCTTGCATGGCCCCAGAGCACTTGGAGCATGCATTAGGGGCTCGTTAGAAGACTCAGCCGCTGTACCAGTGCTGATGAACGAGGACAGGAGAACATGGAACTGGGGCTTTTGTATAAAATATCCAAAGTGTGGTGAAAGTTTGTATTAGGAGGAAATACTGAAGGTGTTGCTTAAAAGGAGGATTAGAGATTATTGGTGCATTTCTTTTATTTGTATGATAATTCTGTTTCCCCACTTACTTGTAACCCTGCCTCAGATGAAAGAGAATTTCCAGTATAAAAATAAGTATTTACTAAGTTCTAGCCACATGCCAGGCACTGTGCTAGGTGTTCGTGGGGCCGCTGGCTTGGGCTGGAAACCGGGTTTCTGTTCTGAGGTCCCTACAGTGGGGTTGGGGGCAGGTGAACTGCCCATTGCGAGGCAGCGGGTGAGTGCAAAGGTGGAGAGATGCCCAGCTGCTTTGAGAGCGGGTACAGGGCTCATAATCCAGCCCGTGCGGTAGGGAGGGGTGGGTTGATGTGGCTGAAAGCCAGATCTAAAGATGATTCCTGCAAGCCACCAATTTGAAATTGTCCTGGGTACATTATATTGCTGCTTTCCAACTCTAACTAGAACAGACCAATTCGTGTGTTTCCTCTGAGTAATAATCAAAGGGACCAGAGGAAATCTCTCTGAGATAAAGAGATTTGGTGCCTGGCTATGAATCCATGTCCCCTGTCCTGTGACTATCATCCTTATGCCCTGGGGTGGGGGATCTGGGCCCAGCCAGACTGAGTGTCTCCTGTCGTGGACATCTCCCTGCAGTAAATATTCTGCAGTTCACAGTCTAGCCAGCACGTCAGAGATGGTTGACTGCTCTGAAAGCTGACCTCATTTTTCCTGCTCACACATACTCCCACTTCCCTCCCCACAGAGCAGATGGCCTCTGGATTAGTGCCAAAGCTGTTCCCTGGGCAGAGAAGCATCTAGACTTTGTCACCACCAAGGGTCCTGGTCCACACCCACAGAACCTGAGCCTATAGAAATGAGGGAGAAGAAAAGGACACTTGCCCTTCTTCAGCTCAGATGCAGTGAGGATGAACAAGATGAGACCAGGCTTTCTAACTGTGAGCCTGGAGAAACCTTCGTGTGGGTAACAAAAAGGTCCCTCAAATCACTCAATCCCCGTTACCACATCACTGTGTAATAATTGTCAAAGGTTGCAGTAGGAAGATTCTTGATTCTTTTTGCTATATCTTTCATGTTTCTGTAGTACCTCTAGAAAGAGCAAGAATCTATAAGCATCACAGAGAAATATGAATCTATTCAGAAAGATAAGAAAAAGAGTAATTTAGGAGACACTGAGATTATATCAAAAATGTTGACCAAATTGCAAAGATAATTTGTCATTAACTACCTTAGCAAATTGATTTCCTAGACAATGATAAGATATAGGCCCTTTCAAAGAAACTTTCTTTTATTAATTCATGGACATTTAGCAGAATCTGTACACACATGGGAAAAAAATACTCTAGAACTTTCATTTGACCATGTGAGTTTTGACATTGAAAAGGCTTGTCTAGATTAGTTACTTGTAATAAACTATAGATTAATTACCTCTTTTTGAATGGCAGCTGCTTTTGCCTGATTTACACTTATTATAGTAAATAACTTAAGGAAAGACTATACACATAAAACTCAGAATCATAGAATGTTGGTGTTAGAATATATTTCTGTAGGATGCCAACTGGCTTTTGCATCATGGTGGGAGACTTGGAGATAGTGTCCTATCTAGTTCAAGTCTGTGGCTCCACCAACTATTGAACCACAGTTTAGGAGATTAATATCTTAGTGTATTTTCTTACCTATGAAATTCCTACCTCACAGGATGATTGTAGAGAACAATTAAGAAAAAGTTATGAAAATATTTTATAAACCATAAAGTAGGAATACCAATATTAATTGCCTATCTCAACTCCTTCATTTACCAGAGGAGAAACTTGAGGAAGAGATTTGAGGTTTCTCTTGTTCAGAGTTTTCTAAATCCTAGTTTGATCTCTTCTGCTAGATCAGAAATTCATTGAGAGTAGGCACTAAATTTATTCTTCTCCCTTGCAGCTGCTAACATGTGCAATGTGGCTGTTCATCAGAGAAAGCTCCAGTTTCAGGGTAGAACTACAGTTATTCCCTATCACTAGCCCCAGTTTAGGAAAAAAATTCCAGGCCACAAGACCTATGTAGATCCCAAGATTTTTGGTAGAAACCACGGGTTGACTTCAAGCTCATCTTTAACCTGAAGTATCTTAATGATACTCATTAAATCCTTGGATGCAATGAAAAGAATTCAGGTGGCATTTTGATGTCACAGTCAATACAGAAGCATTTCAAA